GCAGGCAGTATTTTTTCATTGCGCCTATCCGGTGACGATTCAGCTTCGAGCACTGGCCAAGCTGGTGTTGGCATTGCCCTGAGTCCCCAGGCTAAAGCTGCTTTGGTTGATTGGATTCTTATCAATAGCCGGATGTGTACGGTCCGATTGGCTAGCTCGTTCAAAGCTTCGAAGTCGCGCGGGACTAACAGGTGTCTATTTGTCATCGCTGCCTACGTGCCCACAAACTGTAGCGATGATTCGGTAAAGAACGACTTCTACCGCCAACTGACCCAGCTCCTTCGCCACAGAAGAAACCCGGACACGGTTGTGATGGCGAGGGATCTGAACATACAAGTTGGAAAGTTGTCTACTGATGAAATGCCTCTGGGTGGTCTGCACGGTGTAGGCTACTGTAATGATAACGGTGAACGGTTACTTCATTTGTGTGAAGATGCTCGCTTATTTCTTGCGAGCACTAACTTCCGACACAGCACCCGCCAGAGGGTGACTTGGCGCCCACGTAGATCGATCACATTGCTATCAGTTACCGCTGGAGAGGCTGCGTCCAGAATTGTCGCTCGGTTTGGAGCACATGTGTGGACACCGATCACGCACCTGTATGTGCTGACATGCGGATGCGTTTTGGCGGAAGCCCAAGACGACGTTGTGAGCGCATTGACACCAGCCAACTGACAAAGCCAGCTGTTCTGAATGCGTATCGAAGTACGCTGGCATGCGAATTGAGCAAGCGCTCACTGGAGACGATTGATGGTCACTGGTCACATGTTCGCCATACCGTACTAGCAGCAGGCAAACCTTCATGTGGTATGTCTAATAGCCAACATGGATATTAAGTCTCTTCACGGTCTTTGGAACTTATCTACGCTCACCGGCGTATCCTGGCTGCATACAAACACAATGAAACTCGCAAAGAGCTCCAGGCAAGACTCCGGGCTAGCCTGAAGAGAGACCGCGAATCTTGGTGGTCTCATCGTGCATCAGAGATGGAAGTGGCCGCTGCTCTTGGCAACCATCGTAAGTTATTCCGTCTGAGACGGCAACCGGGCAGCAGCAGACCTGGTGTTAGTGAAACTATACGTGACTAGAGTGGACAGCCTATCCATAATTTGTCAAAACGTTTGGAGCGTTGGGCTGAGCATTTTGAAAAGCAATTTAATCGGTTAGAATTGTTCGATTCTTCGCCGGCCAGTGATCGCCCTGCTCCGTGGGCTGTCCCTTTGGATCCACCTTCTCGCTCAGAAGTCGAACGTGAGATCGGACTGTTGAAGTTGAACAAAGCCGCGGGACTAGATGATCTTCCTTCAGCCCTCTTCAAATTCGGAGGCTCTACTCTTGTTGATGCTTTACATGAATTACTAATGAAACTGTGGGAGCAGGAGACTGTCCGAACTGACTGGAACCGCTCCGTTATTGTTCTCATTTTCAAAGGAGGCTCGCGTTCGGAATGCGGCAACCATAGGGGAATCAGTCTGATCTCCATCGCCTCCAAATTACTCGCCTCCATAATCCTTCACAATCTGAGGCGCGCGTGAAAGCCAGATTCGTGAAGAGCAAGCCGGGTTTCGTTGGGGTCGTGGCTGCATCGACCACATCTTCACTTTGCGTCAGTTGTTGGGGCACCGTCGCACATATTGGCGGTCCACCGTAGTCGTGTTCCTCGACATCAAAGGTGCCTTCGATTCGGTTGATCGATGTGCCCTTTGAAATTGTCTACTCAGGAAACGTGTGCCCGAGAAGTATGTAAATATTATCCAAGCACTGTACGCGCGTAGTACGGGCAGAGTGAGGGCTTACAGCAAGCTGTCGCCACCCTTCAATATCTCCAGCGGTGTGAGACAAGGATGCCCGCTGTCACCTTTCCTCTTCAACTTCGCTGTTGACGAAGTCATGGAAATCGCGTCCACAGGACACGACTTTGAAGGTGTGGAGCTACTCCCAGGAGAGCGACTTCTTGATTTAGAGTATGCTGATGATATTGCTCTCATCTGTGACCGCTCCCAGACTTGCGAAGCTGCGCTGGACAGATTAGCACTGACTGTCATCTGCTTCGGGCTTTGCTTTGCACCATCGGAATGCAAAGCGTTCCTCCAAGATTGTCAGGGATCGCCTTCTACGCTGACACTTAATGGGGATCAGATAGAAGTCATTCGGAAATTCAACTAATTGGAAGGTTGTATCAGCGCCCTTGGGAAGGAAGACGAGATCACGAACCGTATAGCAAAAGCTCGAAGTGCTTTTGCTAACCTTCGCCACCTATGGCGGCGGCGCGACATTACTCTCGCCCTGAAGGGTAGAGTGTACAATGCAGCGGTACTTTCGACCCTGCGAACCCTGGCCCTTAAGATTGGCGGACATGAAGAGGCTAGTTACCTTTGACTATCGCTGCCTTCGCAGTTTGGCTCACATCTGGTGTGAACACCGCGTGAGTAATGGACGTGTTCGACGCCTTGTTTACGGCACATCAAATGGAACTGAACCTCTCAGCACTGTCATTTCACGCACCAGGCTCCGATGGCTGGGCCACGTGTTGCGCATGCCAGCCCACCGACTGCCTGGACGAGCGTTGTTTGCTCACCGGGAATGTGGATGGAAGAAGAGGAAGGGTGGCCAAGCGATGACTTGGTCCAGAGGAATGAAGACCCTCACTTCTGAGCTGGCCTCAGTTGGAGCGTCACGGCTCCCTAGTTGGGTTCCGAAAGACGGTGAACACGTTTGGCTGGATACACTTGCTGATATGGCAAGGAGCCGACCTCAGTGACATTCCTGCTGTGAGTTTCTTTGTCCCTCCCCATCTCTTTTAGCCTCCCCCTCCATCTACGATCTCATTTCGTAGCGCAAAACATACTAATCTTTCTTTTTACCTAGTAGCCGGCTGGTAGCTTACCGGAACGATGCCTATCCGCTGCTGGTAGCCTAGCTGGCATGTAACTGTTGTATTTATTTTCCTTTTCCTTTCCCATCTCTAGCTGACGTGTATAATGAATGCTATAATGATGGGGAGAACGTTTGCCAGGCGAAAGCCCACCATGTGCTGCAACACTGCCGCCGAACTATTTGCTGGAATGATTTAAACTCGAACCACCCAGCTGATACCACGAGGAGGTTGTTCGGCTAGTCAGCCAGTATGGATTTAGGTAAGGTAAAGAGTGACCAATTGTTGACTTAGTTCATCATCATTCTACACGTTCGCTGGTGAGGGGCACCTCAGCTGTTGTGCCGCAATGCAACTCGATAATGCGGTAGTGAAAAGGTATGGAAAAATGATGATAACAAAAGTACAGCGAAGCATTCCTACTGTTATTCTTTGTTTTATATTGTGCGTTGACGATGAGATCGTGGTTGGTACACAAAGCGAAGTGGGATGGAAAGGATAAAGAAATTCGACGTTGAGATCTGTTCTTCGCCAGGAAGTCTGGAAGCCTCAACCTAGGCTGAGTTGTCAACTAAGTGCCTCTACTTTTCCTCGCTAAGTCACGGGCTGGTCTTCTCTCCCCTTCTTCCACACAAACCCTGATCGCACAAATTACGTGCTTCACGGGAGTCGGTGTGCTGACATACGTAACAGGTCAACCCCCGCGATCTGGGGCGTTAACCAATGATGCTGATGTTCACTGGCTCTTCCTCTGTCCTAAACAAGGCGGCGAACATGCTCATTGTTTACACGGTGTTCCCCCAAAATTAAGCAAAGGCACCAATGGCTTGAGTTCAGCAAGCCTCTTTATGTCGTACCGGTGGCATAAGTGGCGGAGTTGGGCAAAAGCGCTTTAAGTTCTCGCTATACGGTTTGCCACTTCATTTACTATTCCGCGGGCATGGATAAAGCCCCCCCCCCAGTTAATTGAATTTTTGAGACTCCTAGCTATCCCTACCAACGTTGACTTGGTTATGTGAAATGGACACAAAAATGTGTGCTGTTGGTCCACCTTGTCTTCTCGGCTGGAGTCCACGTGACCCAACCTGTGCTCGACTAAACATGACGTGACTCACGGCCTGGACCGGTAGCACCTTTGCAGTGGCCCCCTGGCCGGACGCGTACTTAGAGTGTAAGCGTGTTGCAAAATTACCTAAAATATAATTCACTTTTTACAAGGGGCATTGAATTCAGTAAGGTTGCTGTTTCAGTAGTTCTGTCTTGCCTTCTCGGGGTAACCACTTGTTTGTGACCGTCGGTTGTTGTTAACCTGCTGCGCATTGCTTCTGACGTTTTGCTTTGGATATTTTGCTCTTGCCTTAGACCCAAGTTCCCTGCCTATTATTCGTCTTCACTATTGTGACCGTGGCACATATCAGATTTCTAGTTTTTTGAGTTCTTTCAGCTGTCGGTACTGGGTTTCCGCACGCATAATTAGGAATTTATGCTTTAATACTACCTCCTTCTCCCTTGTCTTTATTTGTTGTTAGTAGAGTAACTCTACTTGTGTGACCACGAAGCGTTGCAAAGTATACTACTGTTGTGCTTCTGACTTCGATGATGATGATCTCTGTCAAGTATCAGTATCATGGCGGTGCGCATGTCAACTAGGTTCGCCTCACCTTTCTACAGGGGTCGTACCTATTTACCTAACGCATATCATACTCTCTGTATTCGTTGCTTTTTGTGGTCAGAACGTTAGCTTTGCCTTCCGCTTCTGACACAGACAGCCAAATTCGTAACATCGTTTATCACACCGCGTCCCAATCTTTATTCAGCGTTTCGATTAACGTCAACCTTTATGTTGAACTCGCTGTCATATTGGCATTTCTCTTCCAGCTATATCAGCTGGGCCCTCTGCTCTAAACGACCCTGCCTCATTTTACGCTCTGATTGGGCCAGGTTTCCGTTAAATACGATTTTCGGAGCAGAATTTCTTCGGAGGAACTGAAGTCTCACGATTCAGATATTATGTTCTCTTTCCACATTCACCATTTGTACTCCCTAGTGGTAGCACCGTCTTGTGAGCAGTGCCCACCATGTTACAGTAATTTGTACCCCCTTCTGATTCCGTTTTTTTCGGCAGGGAACGAAAGCGAGAGAAAGAACGTGAAGAGCTATGGAAGAAACTCGAACAGCTGCATGTATCCGGCTACGGGGATGCTGTGGGCACTGCACCGTAAACTGGGACTTCTTCCGCCCACTGACGTGCGTGAATACCTGTCCCGTTGTTCTCACCCTCAGTCTGTCAGAGTTGTTGAGAATACGACCTGCTACCATTTTCTCTGCTTGGATCGCTTCAAAAGAAATCTCTTGCAGGATGCGACTCCACATATGTCGACTACCCATCCTGTAATTTCAGTCACTATCTCTGTCTTCATGTAGGGGTTTTGTTAGCTATGGCTTTGTATTTAATCGCCACTAGGTTGAGCGCTGTTTGCTTCAGATGACCTTTTCTCCTTAATCATCCATTCGACATGACGAGTTGTGAAAGCTGGGGCCGTATTCCCTATCCCTACCCTGAAGTCATCACTCTGTACGTTTCTCGCGCTTTTTTCAATTAATCGCTCCTTTCCGGTGGTTTTCATCTTGTTTTCTGCTACAAATGCGTGCTTCATCTAAGCTAACTTCAACTAACTAGCTTATCAGCTTCATTATTTGGGCTTTCGCAATCTATACCCTCATGCTTTTTTCCAAGCCTTCCATCTTCTGTTCGTCCCTGCTCTCTTCCGTTTCATAACGAGACATGTAAACGTATTCGCATCCCACTCTGCCATTGTAACCCCCATCGCGTCCACCGGGCTCACCGGACTTGAGCTGCATTCCTGAGACCACAGTCTTACATGCAGCGTCGTAGTCCTCCATTACGTCCGTTATTTGTTTTACTCACTTCTCTGACAGTTTTCCTCAAAGCAAAGTTCATCCGCATCTACTACTACTACTTTAGCAGCGCATGCGCTCTCCGTCTTCTGCCTTCCTCCTTCACACATTGCTCATCACGTGTACCATCCTTTCTCTCCGATCGTGTCTGTAGACGGATGCCAATTGCAAAGACAGTTCGTCCGCCACGTGTATCTATATACCATTGACAAGAAGACAATACCTATCCGAATTTTGTGTTTTGCTCCATCAGATTGTCTCATTTGGTCTCACTGTGTGTCGTAAACCTTTCGGTCTCTGATCTCCGGTCCATTCGGAATGCATAACCCAATGGCTGTTCGACCGTTTTAACTGTTTTTAAGTTCACATTCACGGCGCGCTTTCTCTGTCGATACCTCTCTTCACGATGCTGCGCCATTGTCTTCTACATTTTGTATACGGAGGCAGCATTTGTGATATCAACAACCGTGTCCCATCGGACATACTGGTTTGAGATAGCGCGTTGATGTATCCCTCGAGTTATCGTTTCACTCTAGGTTCCCATGGTATGTCTATCCCTATACGATAGCTAACAATTCATCTGTTACATTGGCCTTGGTAATGCAGCTGTGCACACCTTAACTGTGACATTTGCTTTACCGTCGTACCAGTCTTCACGTGTGGGGTATTCCCCTATGGAGAGAGCACTCCATTCACTAGCCCTACATTAGGCCACCCTAACGGAGAAATACACTTGCAGAATTTAGTTATATACAAGCGCATTTGATATCCATACGTCGAATATGGTACTTTTTCGACACAAAGGCATAATTGTGGTGACACCCCTTGTGTTCATTAAGGCAGTATTTGAACATGTCGACGTATCTGTCTGGAATCCCAGCTTTAAGCTTCAACTAACTGTTCTGGCATGCTTGAGATTTAAATTCGTACCCTTGGTGGGATTGCAAGGTTACTTACCTCTATAGCCGACTTGCGCCTGCACAAGCAGCGATGGTGTGCAGCAATCGTTTTACTGTGTGTCACCCGCCTGTCTATACATCATTCCCCTGCCACAGTTCAGTTGAATAACTATGATCCGGGCACCGAAGTGCAGCGGATCCAATTACAACGACTCACGTCGCCAAAGTAACTATAACCATTTAGTCAAGAAATCTGTTGCGGTTTTTAATCTTAAATCTGAGTGCACATATATTGGTTCAAACGCAACCTTTTTAGTCGAAATAAAATCCATCTGAATTGACACACTTTTGCCCACGGGAAACAAGTTTATTTATCAGATGAATAAAATTCGGGAGTTCTGGTGTCGTCGAACGCGGTTTCAACATCTCTTTGGGTTTTAAAACATTCCTTTCAGACGAAGATATTCAATGCTTGAACAAATGGTAATGAGTAGGCGAGAGGTCAGGGGAGTATAGTAGGTGAGGCAAAGTCCGTAGCCTAACTCGTGCAGATTCCGCAAGGTTGGTTGTGCGACCTGTGGCTGAGCGTTATCGTGGAGAAGAATTGACTTTATTTTGACCAGAGCTCGACACGTGAAAGTTTTCGGTGCACTTCGGCAATTTGTTGACAATACTTCTCCGCAGTAACGGTTTCTTCTTCATTCAGAAAGCAGTGGTGGATTAGGCCATCAAAAAATCATCATAACCTAGTTTGATGCAATTTCGGCTTTAGAAAGCGCTATGGAGTAATATAAAATAAACAGCCTCTTCTAGTTTCAGATGCTATGGATATAGCGTCCAGCGAGATGACGTCATCACTTCGCAGACTAGCCACTCTCTGTAGCAGTGGAAGATAGGTATTGTTATATCCCAGTTAGCTTGCAAAGTATGTAGCCCAGCCAACGTCCCCCTATGCCTCAGTGGCTTAAGCTGCTGGCTAGTTGGCATCTGCCTCTAGCGGTCATGGGTTCGATCCCCAGTAGGGAACCGAGAGGAATGCGCACCACTGACGAACCCCAATAGGGCGAAACGCGTCTGGTGCTTTTCCGGACTAGGATGTGCTATGTAGCTTGTAAATTACTGGGATGAATACCTAAAAGAATTCCTCTAAATGATTGAAAATTGTCACATGCGATACTGCTAACTCAGACTCAACATCTCGAACATTTTTACATGTATCCGCTTCAACTAAGACCTATAATTGATCGTCATTTATTTCCGATGGCCGTTCACAACGTTCTCCATTTTCAAGCCTCTCACAAACTTTTCGAAATTTTTGAAACCACAGTTATACAGTACGGTAGTTGGTGGTCTTAGGACCAAATGATGTCATGGACTGTTTGCGCTGCATTTCGACTATGTTTAAATTGGAACAAGAAAGATGTGCGAATTTCTCTTCCGTCCATGTTGCATTAAGTGTCTTTTAAAATGGTAAAAACGTGTTTTTTGGCTAAATTATCACTACTGTTAGATAGAGAAAGAACGCGCTACAAAATATATAGGGTCAAGGTGATTTATGTAGGACTAGTAAATACTAGTCCGAGACGGTGTGCGAAATTAAGCGCGGATATCAGAAGGCAATGGGAGTCGGACACAGCGGACTGCATTCGGTAGGCGGATAAAGCAAGACACGTTAGCGCAGGAACTTACAAGACGGTCTAGTGACGAGCCGGTTGTAAGGAAGATTAAAACAAGAAGGAATAATGTACAATTGGTCAACAATGAAAGAGTGCACAAAAGATAGCAGTTATCTTTTTGGTAGCTACAGAGCTCCCCCACCTAGAAGGCTGAACATAGGAAGCCTTGTATATCGAAAATGACGGGTGAATCGTGGTCCGTAGGGCAAAT